ATTGTGTATTTTGATATCAAACATAGCAAAACTAGTCGGAAAATGTTTACGACTATTCAGCAAGCGTCAGGCTTTCATCGACTTGTGTTCATATATTTATATCAAAAGACACTCGAATAAGTGTCTCGGGTATATATCCCTTGGAAAATTTGATCAGATACCATTAGTTTGTCCCCAACGACATTGCTCAAGGGTATTATCATCGTGACAATGTTAGGCAAAAAGATTAAACATAAATACAGTGATACGACAGCGATGCCCCCGGGGCCACGTATATATACACTGGGATAGATCATATCTATGTGAAACGAGGTGTGACGGTTTATCTGTTCCGAGAATATTAATTTTGTAATGTTTAACATTATTTCGCAAGGTACAGAGAACCCGTTATTCCATGTTTGCGAACAGGTCATCTTAAAAGTTTGCACGGCCTTTCAGAGAAAATGTAGAAAAATGTGGATTACCTGATCTTGAGAGCAACTCATGATCAGTAAATCTATTGTTTAATAGTGAGTGAGGGAGTGAGTTGGGTTTAACGCTGCTTTTAACAGTATTCCAGTTATATCACGGCGTGTCAGCTTAATGTGGGAGGAAAGCCCAAAGTGTTGCAGGTCTAAGACGTTTACCACTTCGGTGAAAACCACGAGCACGGGCATGGTGCTGACAAACTTAGAAACATAATCGGGGCGAACCGGGATTCGAACCCACAATCATAGGTTTCTGGCGTGCCCAAGGGACGCAACTCTGCACAACGAATCGTGGCGCCGTTGTTTAATAGAATGACGTCACATAAAATGTGCATTGTGTGATTGGCGGGGTGACGATGGTGGGGTAGGACATGCTTACCCATTTTGCGAACACCTGGCGTCATCACTGATTTTCCCTATAATTCAAGCTCCACGGCTGTAATGCCTTTTGCGACATACGGTGGATAATCGAGACTGGTGGTTCTCTGGCGTTGACCTTTAATAGTATGATTAAAACTGGCAATATCAGTGGATGACGTCATTATGTATTATGTTTGTGGTATCTCGTCACGTTGTCATGGGCGTCATTGCAAACAATTAAAACAATGAAGGAAAATCAAAATGCCAAGTTAAAATTAATGGAATAATTTTACCTATATTTGTTCTCCTCTGGGTAATATAAGTATATTTATCTTCAAGTGATCCACCATTGGGATTTATGTCAACTAGAGTAGCTGTAGTACTTTCAGTGAAGGGGGCACGGGTGGCCCAGTCGTCTAAGGCGCCGGGATTCGCTGTGCAGAGTTGCATCCCTTGGACACGCCAGAAACCTATGATTGTGGGTTCGAATCCGGGTTCGCCCCGATTATGTTTCTAGGTTTGTTAGCACCATACCCGTGCTCGTGGGTTTCACCGAAGTGGTAAACGTCTGAGACCTGCATCACTTTGGGCTTTCCTCCCACATTAAGCTGACACGCCGTGATATAACTGGAATACTGTTAAAAGCGGCGTTAAACCCAACTCACTTACTCACTCACTCACTTTCGGTGAAGTAATTTAGGCGAACACCTGGTGTCAACACTGATTTGTTGTGATTCATTCATGTTTTTTTCACCGATATTTTGCCCTTTATTGTTTTATTATAATTAGGACTAATTATTCTCTGGCGTTGACGTTTAATTATGTTATTATCTGACGTTGATGACGGTTCGGATTAGCCGATGTTTCTGGAAGCTGACGCATCTGGAAGGGGCACCAGAAAGTCTTTACACATTTCTATTGCCGCCCAGTTTATTATCTGACGTTAATGGCGGTTCGGATTAGCTGATGTCTCTGGAAACTGACGCACCTGAAAGGGACACACTGGAGCTTAAAATGACGATAACCAGAGGTACAGTTAATCGGAGTTTGAGCTGAAGGTTTGTCGTAGCTGAGTAAGGATTTATTTATAACAGATGTGCGCAGCAGGATCTTGACTGAATTTAGATATAAACCTACAGTATTTTGATTTATGATTAGAGGTTTCAAATGTAGATTTGATACCCGTAAAATATCGCTCGGAAACGAACCCGCAGGTATGATTAAATGTGAAGATTGGGTGAATTAGGAGATAAACCCAAATTGGAGAATTCGACATTGGATACGACACCGCTACATTTTCTTTTAAATATTTTTTTTCAAATGGGAGCTTGACTGTTTACTTTTGGAAACGTCAGTACTATGACGTCAGAACGTCGAAGTATTGTGACGCTGTAAACATATCGTCGCTGTATGTGATTGAGTAGCACTGAGTGTTTACTATATTTAACAAAACTTCTTTTAAGTCGTTTTCTTGCGTATACTGCCGTGCAGGCTTTAACGACCCGTGAAGATCCGGGGTAGAATAGGTCTTCAACAACCCATGCTTGCCGTAAAAGGCGACTATGCTTGTCGTAAGAGGCGACTAACGGGATCGGGTGGTCAGGCTCGCTGACTTGCTTGATGCATGTCATCGAACCAGATTGCGTGGATCGATGCTCATGAAGTCAATCACTGGATTGTCTGGTTCAGAGTCGATTATTGACAGACCGCTGGAATGTTGCCGAGTGCGGCTTAAACAACAAACAAACAAACAAACAAACAAACAAACAAACAAAACATGATTTAGCTCACAATAGATCCCCGGCAACCAATGTATATCGTAAGAAGGAACTTAATGGATCGGGCGACTTGGTTGTGACTTGCTTGCGAATGATTGCACATGTCAGTGGATCGTCGGGTCTTTATTTGATCATATGCAGGCCGCAGTCATGAAGGAGTGAGCAAGGTTGGTTTTACAAGCTTTCGGCAATATTCCAGCAACATAACGACTGGGACACCAGAATTGGGTTTCACACATTGTCCCCATGGGGGGAATCGAACCCGAGTCTTCAACGTGACTAGCGAACACCTTAATATAGGCTACCCGCCCGTCTCATGAAGAAATAATGATAAGTGTGGTATTGAACAACACGCAAACAATTGGAAGCAATAATAATTTGCACTCATGTCCTAAGTATCTCGTCCGCCACCGTGGTCTTGTGGTAGAGCGTCCGCCCGGAGGTTCGATCCCCGGCCTCGTCATACCAAAAGACGTAAAAAGATGGTACTTGTAGTTACCCTGCCTGGCGCTCGGCATTAAGGGGCTAAAACAAGGACTGGTCGGCTCGGAGTCAGTATGCTGTGTCTGAGTAGGGTATTCATGTTAAAGTGCGGCATGGTATCTCAGTGAGCTAGCACTGTAAATAAGCATCAGTTAGGACTAGTACAAGCAGCCACACACACACACACACACACGCACATGCACGTCGCTATATAAGTGCAATAATCTTGGACGCGACGTTCAACCCCATTTCACCTTACCTCAACTCACTAGGTATCTCACATTGTTTTTTGTTCAAAATAAGTGATTTAACTCCAACTAGTCATGATTGAGGAAGACGTCAAGGAAATAGTGGGATATTTTCTTTTCGCGATAAGAAATAATATTATGCTTAAACGAGGATTCGATACCGATAACGTTGGTTGATTGTTTAAAGCCGCACTCAGCAATATTCCAGCTATATGACGGCGGTGTGTAAATAATCGAGTCTCGACCAGACAATCCAGTGATTAATATCATGAGCATCGATCCACGCAATTGGGATCGATGACATGCATCAACCAAGTCAGCGAGCCTGACCACCCGATCCCGTTAGTCACCTTTTACGACAAGCATAGTCGCCTTTTACGGCAAGCATGGGTTGCTGAAGACCCCGGAATCTTCACGATACCGATAACGGACCAATCAGAATGAAAGATTCTGAAAGTCTAATAATGTGTGAGTAGCACTAAAACTGTCGTGCCTCCATCAATTTAACACAGACTCGAGCTCACAGCAGTGGTAGCTTTGTGAAACGGGGCCCAAGATGACAAAAAACTTATGTGATTTGCTGAAAAAAACCATAAAAACTACTATTTCCCCTTTTAAATAAGCATGCATCCGTAATATTGCGACATCATCCTTATCTCATGTAAGTGAGTGAGTGAGTTGGGTTTCACGCCGCTTTTAACAGTATTCCAGTTATATCGAGGCGTTATCTCATGTAAGGCGATATGGTGTTCTGGGGCGCTTCATTTAGCTGCGTCCCCTGTGATGGTGGGTTCGAATCCCAAATTCTCTATGATTGTGATAGTTGAGTTGTCAGCCCCTGTCCGACCTTGCGGGTGCCCCCAACGTGTTACACGTCCGGGTCTGTATTACGGCGTACGGCGTTAAATCCAAGTCACTCACCGTATGCTATCTGTTTCTATATTCGAGTAAAAAAATGAACGCGATCCACATGTTCTGAAATGTTAACTCCCCAGCTGCTTTCTTGTTTTCGAGCATTAACGTTTCGTTGTTTGTTGGCTTGTTTGTTTGTTGTTTAACGTCGCACTCAGCAATATTCTAGCTATATGGCGGCGGTCTCTACATATTGAAGTCTGGACCAGACAATCCAGTGATTGACTTCATGATTTGTTGGTTGGTTTGTTATTTAACGCCGCATTCAGCAATAGTCCAGCTATATGACGGCGGTCTGTAAATAATCGAGTCTGGACCAGACAATCCAGTGATTGATATCATGAGCATCGATCCACGCAATTGGGATCGATGACATGCATCAACCAAGTCAGCGAGCCTGACCACCCGATCCCGTTAATAGCCTTTTACGACAAGCATAGTCACCTTTTACGGCAAGCATGGGTTGCTGAAGACCTATTCTACCCCGGAATCTTCACAGGTCTTGACATCATGAGCATGGATTTACGCAATGTTTGGATACAATGACATGCATCAATTGTGTCCCAATTGTGCGCCGTTGGTCTCCTCGTACAACAAGCATGGGTTGCTGAAGACAACCCGAATGTTTATGGGTATTTAGCGGTATAGATAATGGACCGTTTTGTGTTTTATCTCCAGAAGAAGCCTTGGCACAAGGAGACACCCTGAAGAATGTTGGTGATATCAAAACTTCTGCAACCACAACTACCTTACTGTCGTCGACGACACCAGTATCACCGACCTCATCGTCTAACTTAGATACATCTTCCTCAGCCACTAGCACTGATCCATTCAGAACATCACCCACGACAACAGCAGTTACAACGTCTACGTCGAGCTCCACTTCATCCACGACTACAGGGCCCACACAAAGTACATCTACAGCGTCTACTACAACTACGACGACATCATTAACGACTACTACACCGCCACAGACAGGTACAATATTGATCTTAGTTGGGGTTCCAGAGAAGGTTAACTGTGCATGTGTTATGTGAAATCTGTTTGATAATCGACTGGTAACTCGCTGTCGTTGACGTTTTATGTTACTGTTATTGAACAGTTGTAATAAGTTTGTTTACAAGCAAAGACTACACTAAACATTTTTACTTCAGCAACCCATGCTTGTCGTAAGAGGCGACAAACGGGATCGGGTGGTCAGACTCGCTGACTTGGTTGATACATGTCATCGATCCCAATTGCGTGGATCGATGGACATGTTATTAATCACTGGATTGTCTGGTCCAGACTTGATTATTGACAGACCGCCGTCAAATAGCTGGAATATTGCTGAGTGCGGCATTAACAACAAACCAACCAACCAACCACTTTATTCAATAACATCTTCTATTGACCAACCAACCAACTACATTCAATAACAGCTTCTATTGACCAAACAACCAACTATATTCAATAACATTTTCTATTGTGTCGATGACAACTGGGTCTTATTTTTATATTCTTTCTCTTGTTTTGTTGTGATCGACAATCAAAAAAAGGCGATATTTCCTCCCATGTGTTGATCTGGCTAGTATACCAAATGCACCCATAACGTTGTATATATTATTACATGTTTGAGATTTAACCCCCTCGAGGATTCCACGCCCATTTTTAAGAATTCTGTCTAAATCGACATCATTCGGACCAAACAAGCTGTCACAAGTACTTCGAACGGGCCAGCTGTATTTATTTGTCGGATTAGAAAAAAAATGTGGTTAACCCGTCTGGAACAGCGTCCGGGTCAATGAAAGTCCCTTTAAGCGCATCCTCCACTTTTCCTCCTGTCCCCCATCAAAAGCCTTCCAAACATCCATTTCCGTCCAGTCAAACCTGTCCATATCCCCCATTCAACAAAGGCTATAGTGAAAGTATTTTTCGACAAAGGCTATCTTTAATGTATTTGTCTACAAACTTTAAGGCTATCGTGAATGTATTGCTCTACAATGGCTATCGTGAATGTGCCTTTCCACAGAGGCTATCGTGAATGTATTTTTCAACAAGGCTATCGTGAATTATTATTTTTCTACAAAGGCTATCGTGAATACATGTTTCTGCATAGGTTATCGTCAATGTTTTCTTCTGATATGGCTGTTGTGAATGTATTGCTCTACAATGGCAATCGTGAATGTATTACTCTACAAAGGCTATCGTGAATGTATTTTTCAACAAAGGCTATCGTGAATGTATTTTTTTAAAAAGGCTATCGTGAATGTATTTTTCAACAAAGGCTATCGTGAATGTATTTTTCAACAAAGGCTATCGTGAATGTATTTTTCAACAAGGCTTTCGTGAATGTATTTTTTCGACAAAGGCTATCGTGAATGTATTTTCGACAAAGGCTATTGTGAATGTATTTTTTTCTACAAAGGCTATCGTGAATGTTTTTTTCTGATTTGGCTGTTGTGAAGGTATTGCTCTACAATGGCAATCGTGAATGTTTTTTTCTGATATGGCTGTCGTGAATGTATTGCTCTAAAATGGCTGTTGTGAATGTATTGCTCTACAATGGCTGTCGTGAATGTATTGCTCTACAATGGCTGTCGTGAAAGTATTGCTCTACAATGGCTGTCGTGAATGTATTGCTCTTCAATGGCAATCGTGAATGTATTGCTCTACAATGGTAATCGTGAATGAATTGCTCTACAATGGCAATCGTGAATGTATTGCTCTACAATGGCAATCTTGGATGTATTGCTCTGATATGGCTGACGTGAATGTATTGCTCTACAATGGCTGTCGTGAATGAATTGCTATTCAATGGCAATCGTGAATGTATTGCTCTACAATGGCAATCGTGAATGTATTGCTCTACAATGGTAATCGGGAATGTATTGCTCTACAATGGCAATCGTGAATGTATTGCTCTACAATGGCAATCGTGAATGTATTGCTCTACAATGGCAATCTTGAATGTATTGCTCTACAATGGCAATCTTGAATGTATTGCTCTACAATGGCAATCTTGAATGTATTGCTCTACAATGGTAATCGTGAATGTATTGCTCTACAATGGCAATCGTGAATGTATTGCTCTACAATGGCAATCGTGAATGTATTGCTCTACAATGGCAATCTTGAATGTATTGCTCTACAATGGCAATCTTGAATGTATTGCTCTACAATGGCAATCGTGAATGTATTGCTCTACAATGGCTGTCGTGAATGTATTGCTCTACAATGGCAATCGTGAATGTATTGCTCTACAATGGCAATCGTGAATGTATTGCTCTACAATGGCAATCGTGAATGTATTGCTCTACAATGGTAATCTTGAATGTATTGCTCTACAATGGCAATCGTGAATGTATTGCTCTACAATGGTAATCTTGAATGTATTGCTCTACAATGGCTGTCGTGAATGTATTGCTCTACAATGACTGTCGTGAATGTATTGCTCTACAATGGCAATCGTGAATGTATTGCTCTACAATGGCAATCTTGAATGTATTGCTCTACAATGGCAATCGTGAATGTATTGCTCTACAATGGTAATCTTGAATGTATTGCTCTACAATGGCAATCGTGAATGTATTGCTCTTCAATGGCAATCGTGAATGTATTGCTCTACAATGGCTGTCGTGAATGTATTGCTCTACAATGGCAATCTTGAATGTATTGCTCTACAATGGCAATCTTGAATGTATTGCTCTACAATGGTAATCTTGAATGTATTGCTCTACAAAGGTAATCTTGCATGTATTGCTCTACAATGGCAATCTTGAATGTATTGCTCTACAATGGTAATCTTGAATGTATTGCTCTACAATGGTAATCTTGAATGTATTGCTCTACAATGGCAATCGTGAATGAATTGCTCTTTAATGGCAATCGTGAATGTATTGCTCTACAATGGCTGTCGTGAATGTATTGCTCTACAATGGCTGTCGTGAATGTATTGTTCTACAATGGCAATCGTGAATGTATTGCTCTACAATGGCAATCTTGAATGTATTGCTCTACAATGGTAATCTTGAATGTATTGCTCTACAATGGCTACCGTGAATGAATTGCTCTTCAATGGCAATCTTGAATGTATTGCTCTACAATGGCTGTCGTGAATGTATTGCTCTACAATGGCAATCGTGAATGTATTGCTCTACAATGGCAATCTTGAATGTATTTTTTTCTACAAAGGCTATCGTGAATGTTTTGCTTTGGTATGGCTGTCGTGAATGTATTGCTCTACAATAGTAATCGCGAATGTATTGCTCTACAATGGCTGTTGTGAATGTATTGCTCTACAATGGCAATCGTGAATGTATTGCTCTACAATGGCAATCTTGAATGTATTTTTTTCTACAAAGGCTATCGTGAATATTTTCTTCTGATATGGCTGTTGTGAAGGTATTGCTCTACAATGGCTGTCGTGAATGTTTTGCTCTACAATGGCAATCGTGAATGTATTGCTCTACAATAGTAATCGCGAATGTATTGCTCTACAATAGTAATCGCGAATGTATTGCTCTACAATGGCTGTTGTGAATGTATTGCTCTACAATGGCAATCGTGAATGTATTGCTCTACAATGGCAATCTTGAATGTATTTTTTTCTATAAAGGCTATCGTGAATGTTTTCTTCTGATATGGCTGTTGTGAATGTATTGCTCTACAATGGCAATCGTGAATGTATTGCTCTACAATGGCTGTTGTGAATGTATTGCTCTACAATGGCAATCGTGAATGAATTGCTCTACAATGGCTGTTGTGAATGTATTGCTCTACAATGGCAAACGTGAATGTATTGCTCCACAATGGCTTTTGTGAATGTATTGCTCTACAATGGCTGTCGTGAATGTATTGCTCTACAATGGCTGTCGTGAATGTATTGCTCTACAATGGCTGTCGTGAATGTATTGCTCTACAATGGCTGTCGTGAATGTATTGCTCTACAAAGGTAATCTTGCATGTATTGCTCTACAATGGCAACCGTGAATGAATTGCTCTTCAATGGCAATCGTGAATGTATTGCTCTACAATGGCTGTCGTGAATGTATTGCTCTACAATGGCAATCGTGAATGCATTGCTCTACAATGGCAATCGTTAATGTATTGCTCTACAATGGTAATCTTGAATGTATTGCTCTACAAAGGTAATCTTGAATGTATTGCTCTACAATGGCAATCTTGAATGTATTGCTCTACAATGGTAATCTTGGATGTATTGCTCTACAATGGCAATCGTGAATGTATTGCTCTACAATGGTAATCGTGAATGTATTGCTCTACAATGGCAATCGTGAATGTATTGCTCTACAATGGCAATCTTGAATGTATTGCTCTACAATGGTAATCTTGAATGTATTGCTCTACAATGGCAACCGTGAATGAATTGCTCTTCAATGGCAATCGTGAATGTATTGCTCTACAATGGCAATCGTGAATGCATTGCTCTACAATGGCAATCGTTAATGTATTGCTCTACAATGGTAATCTTGAATGTATTGCTCTACAAAGGTAATCTTGAATGTATTGCTCTACAATGGCAATCTTGAATGTATTGCTCTACAATGGTAATCTTGGATGTATTGCTCTACAATGGCAATCGTGAATGTATTGCTCTACAATGGTAATCGTGAATGTATTGCTCTACAATGGCAATCGTGAATGTATTGCTCTACAATGGCAATCTTGAATGTATTGCTCTACAATGGTAATCTTGAATGTATTGCTCTACAATGGCAACCGTGAATGAATTGCTCTTCAATGGCAATCGTGAATGTATTGCTCTACAATGGCTGTCGTGAATGTATTGCTCTACAATGGCTGTCGTGAATGTATTGCTCTACAATGGCAATCGTGAATGTATTGCTCTACAATGGTAATCTTGAATGTATTTTAGAGATGAAGATGTTTGGATCGGAGACGTTGCTTGACTACGGAGCATCGTCTGTCATCTGCGGCGTGTCACATCCGTACAATTGGGAATACGTCAGAATACGCCACGTCGACATGAGCGGAAAGAAGAGAGAGATCTGCAGAATTGCTAAGGGATCCAGCCCACAACTCGACAGCGCCATGGACGCGAACAAAGTCTCGGTGAGCTCTTCCTGATGTGAAACTGGAAACTTGAAAATTTGAAAAAAGTTCATTATCACCCTTTCTCATTTACATATATTTACAACTCCATTATATCTTTTGCTACGTATCTACACATATCAAGACTTCCATGATGATAAATATCTGAGATAGCAGTGACACCTGCTGAAACGTTGGCACAAGAACTCGTTGTATATAATGGAAAGATGGGCGGTCGGGTAGCCTAGTAGTTAAAGCGTTCGCTCGTCACGCTGAAGACCCGGGTTCGATTCCCGACATGGGTACAATGTGTGAAGCCCATCTCTGGTGTCCCCCGCCGTGATATTGCTGGAATATTGCTAAAAGCGGCGTAAAACCATACACACTCACTAACTCCTTCACTCATTCACTTTCATGAAAAGAAACTGGGGAGACGGTCGAAAGGGCAGTCAAATCCAGCCACATCTAAAAATCGAACCGCTGGACCCTGTTGTAACTTCGAGATAATCGGACATTCGAGATAGCGAGGCACTGATAGACAGGCAGATCATGTAACAGAATCATGCACCCATAGCAATACGATTGCATACACGTAACTGATGTAATGTAACTTTAAATAGTTATATCATTTTTGTCCACTTGTTTCTGAATTGTATCACCCAATCATTTGGCCTTGACCTTTTTAACCGGTTATTTTTACTTGAAGGTAACGTGGAACGTGACGTCATCAAGTCTGTATTTCCTATTGGCGTTCAAGCCTGCCAACTGTGAAGACGTGGGGACGTATTTCTGCGACCTTGTCACGGACTCGGGAACCAGAACAGCTGTTTCCACTGTCACAGTGAAAGGTACACAACGTTCATGGGCTCTTTCAAACATATACATTTATAGTGTCAAAATTCAAAATGTAAACACACCGAATACGGGGTGTGATATTGCTTAACAGTTTTGTATATTTTCAAAATGACATTTTTACGTTGATTCGCATTGTTAGAATTTGTTTGGTTCTAAAGTTTGTACATAACAATAATTGTCTAAATTAGAAAAACTACCAGAGATAAAACAGTTAATGACTAGAGCGAAACCTAGTCATCTCAAATGCACGAGGACTACCAAACCCGTGAAGATCCGGGGTAGAATAGGTCTTCAGCGACCCATGCTTGCTGCAAAAAGCGACTATGCTTGTCGTAAGAGACGACTATCGGGTCGGTCAGGCTCGCTGACTTGGTTGATGCGTGTCATCGTATTCCAATTGCGTCGATCGATGCTCATAATGTCAGTCACTGGATTGTCTGGTCCCGACTCGATTATTTTTCAGACCGCCGTGATATAGCTTGAACATTGTTGAGTGCGGCGTTAAACAAACAAACAATAAACGTAGACCACAAACAACAAAACAATGAGCCCCGATTACGCGACCTTACCATTATAATTATAATACAATATAAATAATTTTTTATTATAGTCATTATTGTTATTATTATTATTATTATTATTATTATTATTTGTAGCCGTGCCTTCAAAACCTTCTCTGACTACACCCAAGACGGTGGTTGCCGGGCGACGGACTGAGATCTCATGCATGGGGAACGTCGGTTTCCCTGGGGGGATGATGACGTTGTATATCAAGGACAAGGAAACTGACGTTCTCAGGGAAATCGGCGCGAATGATGGACTGACTCGGGAATTCAGACGGGAGGAGTGTCACAATTACGTGAATCTCACCTATACATACAGTCCGCCCCAAGACGGGAACGACACCGCCATTTTATGTTTGACGGAAAATAGTTTCGTAGCAACCGACGTCATCAGAAAGACGGCGTCAGCTGATTTGCAAGTACTCCCGGGTAATATACAGCAAGAATCGAAACCATGAAAGATAACCGATCTCATTAAAATCAGATCTTAGCTCTCGCTATCGCTAAACACAGATCTGAGGACATCCCATTTGGGGTCACGTCAGAGCGACCTTTCATCCAACCAATCAGAGCGTCGCTTACCAGATCATGAAAGTGACAGTCGGAATGTGTTTTCTAATCATGCAACCACGAAATATTTAAAACGGGGTATTCCGAACGACAGTTACGGGTATTATGATTATATCCATACAATCTAGGCCATATATAAGCTATTCCAGAATGTTCTTCTTATCATTTTTAATTTTTTTTTAAATCGAGAATACGTCAAAATATGTTTCGAAGCGTAGTCGCCAGTTTGAAACTACTGTCGTAAAGCTCGAGAAAGCTGCCTTCTGATTGGCTAATGTCGATTTCTTGTCAGTCATTTCATTGGTCGGTCAAAATTCGCGAAAGGTCGTTCTGACGTGACCCGCACTGGGATGTCCTCAGATCTTTGTTTAGCGGTAGCGAGAACTAAGAACTTATTTTAATGAGATTGGAAGGACAACCAATTGCAAATCAAGGTTCGAAACATACAAAGGGACGCCACTGTGGCAACTAAGACGACAATGCCACCCGCTTAAAAACATTATCATACACACACGAACGATTCAGAATGATATTTTTTCTTAATACTTCTTAAAAGTATAATTATTTTATATCTGTTTCGATCGATTCATTATCATTATTTCTACGATTACTGTCATGTTAAAATATTATTATCACTATTGTCATTATAAGTTTCATAAGGGTCGACTCAGATTTTTGTTCGTTGTCACTCAAAATATTATCACAAAACGGGTTTTTTTCAGGCAATATATGCACATCTTCCTCCTCCACCGTGCCTTTCCCCTTCACCTGTGAGAGGTTCGTCATGTGTCAAGGTGGCACGGTGTCGGTGGTGGCCTGCCCCGCCGACACGTGCTACAACGCCGAAACGTTGCTTTGTCAACAAGATGGCGGAGACAAGCCGTCCAAATCAGGTAATTTTCTATTTATTTTGTATCCATTGAACCTGGTTTGCACATCAAGAGCGACAACAGCAATGTTTTTTTTTTGTTAGTTCGTTGTTTAACGCCGCACTCAGCAATATTCCAGCTATATGACGGCGGTCTTGAAAATATTCGAGTCTGGACCAGACAATCCAGTGGTTGACATCATGAGCATCGACCACGAAATTGGGGAAAACAGCTATGTACGGCCACTGTTACTTTCAATTGAGTTTTTAGCGTTAATTTTACGTAAACCACCTTTATAGAAAAAATATTGAAAATATTGTTTCAAAATAAAATCGGTAGGTAACATCAAGGTGTATCGATTCAATAATAAAAAGAATTCAGGAAATATCCGAACGCCTTTAAGTTATAATTTGTTGTTATTTCAGATATATCGCTTGTGACATCAGCAGCTATTCAGAACGCGAGCACTCCGTTTGTGACGTGCATGGCTTCCAACGTGACGGGCCAATATAACCTCACCATCTCTCATTCCAACGACGCCGGCATATTTGAGAGCCTTGTTTCAGTGTTCCTGAACACTATGACGTCATATTCAGCCTTGACCTCTCGCAACGTCACCCCCAGCGTGACGAGGGAAGACGGCATGGTTGCTGTATCTCTAATCGCCCATGCCATCTCTTGCACAGATGGGGGATTATATAGATGCCATCTACAAACAGCTTCTGACAAGATCAGCAGAGATGGTACCGTGACAGTTAATGGTAAGGGAATGAGTGAGTGAGTGAGTGAGTGAGTGAGTGCCGCTTTGATCAGTATATTCTTACATCACAGCGTGATGACGCAGATGGTTGACGTTTCCACGTGAGCAGGTTTGATGCAGATTAAACATGATTGACTAAAGGACGATTCCGGGATAGGGGCTTGTGGTGTCTTAAATAGTAGGACCCAGATTATTATTATGTTGGTTGGTGTGTTGTTTTACGCCGCACTCTGCAATATTCCAGCTATATGACGGCGGTCTGTAAATAATCGAGTCGGGACCTGACAATCCTGTGATTAATATCATGAGCATCGATCCACGCAATTGGGATCGATGACATGCATCAACCAAGTCAGCGATCCTGACCACCCGATCCCGTTAGTCGCCTCTTTCAAAAAGCATAGTCGCCTTTTACGGCAAGCATGGGTTGCTGAAGACCTGTGTAGTGAAATAATATGAACTAAATGGTATGTATATTCGCACGTTATGACCACTGGGTGCTTTTGTTTTGGCTTTTTTGTATGCTTACTGTGACTATGGTCGAGCAAACTTGGAGGCTGGGACTAGTACCATCCAAATATAAAAGCTATCGTCAGAGACTGTTTAGCCTCGATTATCCGCCTGAACAGTCAGTGAGTTTGGTTTAACGCCGCTTTGAACAGTATTCCAGTTATAACACGGCGTGTCAGCTTAATGTGGGAGGAAAGCCCGAAGTGATGCAGGTCTCAGACGTTTACCACTTCGGCGAAATCCACGAGCGCGGAATATGGTACTGATAAACCTAGAAACACAATCGGGGCGAACCGGGATTCGAACCCAAAATCATAGGTTTCTGGCGTGCCCAAGGGACGCAACTCTGCACAGCGAATCACGGCGCCTAAGACGACTGGGCCACCCGTGGCCCCCTGTAATATAACTGTAAAGTAATATAACTTTACAGTTCCGTTATCGTAACATATGTATCGTGATAAGGATTTCGATTTAACGAGGTTGCACTTTACAATTATTTCATTGATGTATAAAAGGATTGCAGGGAGACATTAGTTCATCACCGTTCATCATCGTCACAATCATCATGCAATAATTATTACTTCAGCACTTTCATCATCATCATCATCAAAACAAATGCCGTCACGTTAGTATCATCATCGTAGTCGTCGTTGTTGTGATTGTTGTGTTTTGTTGTTATTATTTTTTAAGATTACGATTACTGTTATCATTTTCATCATCACCATCGTCATCATAATTTTTATTGTTATCACTATTATTTAACAGTGCTCATTCATATCCAATAATAACCCTATATCATGGTTATATTATTGTTCAAAACTGTCGTATTATTTCAGCCCACCCAAACAAGCCATCCCTTTCATTTGATGCGGAGCTGAGAGTGGGCAGGTCAACCCTGGCCGAATGCAGGGGGTTCGTTGGTTCTCCTGGAGGAAAAATACTATGGTTCTTGAAACCCGCTTCCATGCCAAACTTTATACAACTGAACATTGCCAAAGACACAACTGAAATGTTGGACTGTTCCAATCACGTGGTTAGCAGCTTCGTGTACACCCCTGTCATGGCTGCAAATGGATCCGTCCTAAAATGTGTGTCGTCCAATGAAAACTATCCTCACATATCAGGAGAAGACAACAGCGACAGCACACAACTGCTGCTTCTGACGGGTACGTAGTTGGCACGATGTGACAATGAAAACATTGTTCATTGCGCGTTGAACACATCTCAGTAACTCAAATCACCATTACGTCTTTAGTTGGCATATAGAAATTGGACAACTTCTTTCTTGTTTGTAACGACGTTTTAGGCGTTTACTTCTGACCCCTTGATCAGATGAAGGGATAAGAGGTAGCCGTGAAACGTCGTTATTTACAAGGCTTCTTGACACTCGATCAGATGAAGGGACAAGAAGTAGCAGTGAAACGTCGTTATTAACAAGACTTCCTACCCCTTCATCAGATGAAGGGACAAGAGCTAGCTGTGAAACGTCGTTATAACAAGACTTCCTATCTCTTTATCAGATGAAGGGACGAGAGGTAGCCGTGAAACGTCGATATAACAAGACTTCTTGACCCTTCATGAGATGAAGAGACGAGGGGTAGTCGTGAAACGACGTTATAACAAGACTTCTTGACCCTTCATCAGATGAAGGGACAAGAGGTAGCCCTGAAACGTCGTTATAAACAAGACTTCTTGGCCATTCATCAGATGAAGGGACGAGAGGTAGCCGTGAAACGTCGTTATAACAAGACTTCCTATGTCTTTATCGGATGAATTGACGAGAGGTAGCCGTGAAACGTCGTATTAACAAGACTTCTTGGCCCTTGATCAGATGAAGGGACAAGAGGTAGCCGTGAAACGTCGTTATAAACAAGACTTCTTGGCCCTTGATCAGATGAAGGGACGAGAGGTAGCCGTGAAACGTCGTTATAACAAGACTTCTTGGCCCTTCATCAGATGAAGTGTGTGGCTGCTTGTACAAATCCGAACTTTTAAAGTATTTTGGTATGACGCGACTGGGTATGGAACCCCGGACTTTCCGCTCTCCGGGCGGACGCTCTACCACTAGACCAAATATGTCCTATGATGTACATGACAAATGGTCCCTTGGGGTATCCGGCAATCTATGCTTGTAGGCGACCACTAACACGACGACATGTTGCGCATAACAGCAATCACTGGATTGTCTGGTCCAGACTTGATTATTCACAGACCACCGTCATAAAGCTGGAACGTTTGATTGTTTTGTTTGTTTGTTGTTTAACGCCGCACTCAGCAATATTCCAACTATGTGACGGCGGTCTGTAAATAATCGAGTCTGGACAAGACGATCCAGTGATTGACATTATGACCATCCATCCACGCAATTGGGATACGATGACATGCACCAACCAAGTCAGCAGCCTGACCACCCGATCCTGTTTGTCGCCTTTTACGGCAAGCATGGGTTGCTGAAGACCAATTCTACCCCGGATCTTCATTGCTAATGTTCACATGCATCTCTTCTTTGACTTCAATACAGTGATTAGGTGTTATCTGCCTTACTCCGCTCTACATGGTGATCACTCCTATGCACAATTCTGTGGATCGCAAAGCATTTACTTGATCGCAGCTGAGCCCCTATGTCAGTGAATGAGCTCTTCTTATGGCGAAGTCAGCAACGTCTGTATTACAGTGGAATATTTGATGTATAATGTTGGACAGGGAAATCCTATTCCTTTGTACTTTATATCGATTGTAGTGTGATCATGGCCCATGATATGGCTTAGGTCCGATTCAATGGGTAGGGTTTTACGCGGCTTTTAGCAATATTCCAGCAATATCACGGCGGGGGACGCCAGAAATGGGCTCTACACATTGTACACATGCGGGGAATCGAACACGGGCCTTCGGCGTGACGAGCGAACGCTTTAACCACTAGGCTACCCTACCTCCCGAGTCCGGGTCAAATGTGAGAAATGAAATAAAAGATTTTGATAAAAAGGTGAGATGATGACGTCACGGCCAACACGAAGCTATGGTGCAAGGTAATTGTCGTAATAGAATGGAAAGGTTCTACACTTGATAATCGATGATCCAAGCAAAAATGTGGAAAGCGTTTTGTTTGTTTGGCTTTTTGTTTGTTTTTTACACCGTATTTAGCAATATTCCAACCTCATGTACATAACATGGGTCTGAAACTAATCGAGTTTGGACCAGAAAACCCAATGATTGACGTCATGAGCATAGATCTGCTCAGTGATACTGTGACATGCATCAACCAAGTCAACGAGTCTGACCACCCGATCCCGTTAGTCGCCTCTTAGAACCAGCTGGAGTGCTGAGGCTCAATACCGACACGGATCGACCCGGGTCTATCCATTAAGTCGCCTCTTACCCTTGTGACCAATTGTAAATAAACGAATCCGACAGACCACTCAACTACAAAATCAACTTACCTTACCTTACGCGTCTAACGACCAGCATCAGTTGCTGGGCACGAGTTCTAACCACGGGGTATTCGCAAATGACAGGGGCAACACCATAAATCACATAACAGATGTCCTTTACATACCGTTCCAGACAACACTGTATTTAACATATGTATATTGGTACAACTGTGAACAAGGCCCGTAGTGAATGATTGCCATAACAAATGACTAAATACCAGAGGGTGTGTGATCGTATCGCGATAATTAATGTTGTCTCGAGGGTTGGTTGATTTGTTTTTTGTTTATTAGGTGCAATATTCCAGCTATATGACGACGGTATGTACATAATCGAGTCTGGACCAGACAATCCAGTGATTGATATCATGACCATCGATCCACGCAATTTGGATCGATGACATGCATCAACCAAGTCAGCGTGTCTGACCACCCGATCCCGTTAGTCGCCTTTTACGACAAACACAGTCGCCTTTTACGGCAAGCATGGGTTGCTGAAGACCTATTCTACCCCGGATCTTCACGGGTCGTTGCCTCGAGGGGACACCGAGTTGATGGAACCGTTGGTTAGGTTCGGTCATCAAACCATCAAACCTTAACCAATACAGACGTCACCGACTGTTGATAATCACTTGTATCGTTGTTTCAGGTACGGAATGCAGAGGTAAAGCAGATAACAGTAAAGTCAGCCACCCGTACACCTGTAACAAGTACATACATTGTTCTGGATCAACACAGACTGTAAACACCTGTCCCGAGGGTGTATGTTTCGATTCAGTCACACAAACCTGTTTAGATGGGCCCTGAAGATGAACCGACCAACATTTGCTTTATTATTTTGTGGATGTCAAAAACCTGTTGGGGGAATGTCAAGGTCACAAGTTCCCCGGATGACAACAGATCACCACGATAGGTACTGGTTACTATATCGTCTGTGCCCCGTTCCAGGAAGCGACCTTAGTGCCATGACTATCTCAAGTCAGTGTTAAAGTTAGGGCGTTACGACCGTCTACGAACTAAGACAGTCTCGGAGAAGCTGCATATTGGGTTGCCCAATTTTATTTATTTTATATTTTTTATAAAACTGTATTACTACGTGTTTGTATTTTATCAAAACTGTTTATAAAATCATGGCAAGCGCCAATGAACACTGTATAATAAATATATTATTATAAAATATTATATTATTATTATCATTATTATTCAAATAAGAAATGCAGTAAAAGGGTTTGGCTCAGCATCAGCTCAGGGCCCTTGCCGCCTCTACACGCAGCCCAGACAGCGAATCGGACTTCTCCCAGGAAGCGCTTGCCTAGTTAAACCCACCCAGAACTTTTGTGAAGACTCCCCAATACTGCACCCTTCTGCATTACCCAGATTGTCAGAAGGGCTGTATTCCTTGTAGCAAACCCGGGTACTCTCCAACTATCGGTCAACAGTTTGGGAGGTACCAAAAGCTAGGGCGCCAGACAGGGTAACAACAAGTACCATCTTTTAACGTCTTTTGGTATGACGCGGCCCCGGACCTTCCGCTCTCCGGGCGGACGTTCTACCACTAGACCACGGAGGCGGTCATTTGATGTATAATGCCACACTTAACTGATTGCTTTTTTCATATTTAGAAGTGTTGGGGGCGTGTGTGCGAAATAGTTCATTTCAATTGATTACTGACACTGAAACTGGTTGTTTTATGTTCCGTTTTTATTTATCATATAGTTTAGTCTCTCTCTGTGTTTAAGCTCGCAACAAATTTTCTTCGGAGTCAATATAATATCCATTTGCTTATTTCAGGCAAAATTACATTCAGTAAAAATATTTCACACATAGACCATATCCAACAGAAAACGACTCTAAGAGCTGCTGGTTTTGTGTGAATGTTGCCTTTGGTATGGTGACTAATTTGCGACATTTCTTTGTTGGTTTGTTTGTTTGTTGTTTAACGCCAAAATTCATCTATATGTCGGGGGTCTGTAAATGATCGAATCTGGAGCAGACAATCCAGTGATTGACATCATGAGCATCGATCAACGCAATTGAGATCGATGACATGCATCAACCAAGTCGTATCCCAATTGCGTGGATCGATACGCATGCTCCAGACTTGATTTTTTTACAGACCGCCGTCATATAGCTGGAATATTGCTGATCGCAGCGTTAAACAACAAACAAAAATATCAAAACATACTTCTTTGCATACTTACTCTTTTCATGTTCGGTCACGTACAACTTCAACAAACAAACATTTCCATATGTCAACTCTTAATTAGCAAACACAGAGTGAAGCAAGAAGCTAGTGAGGCTAGGACCTAGTCCTGTACTATGTGTGTGAAATATACGCAGTCTATAATCTGCAATAGCACAGTCTAACTATATCTGCCTTTAATTTACCGCTTGGAGCAAGGCTCCTTATGAATTCCATTTTGTAAATATTTGCATTGCCTTAATCGTGGTCTGACTGGGGGTCCTACATGTAACGGTATCCTCCCCTCAGTCATACAGGCCATTTGTCATACAGCTTATAACAACATAGGATATGCATGACTTGACCACTAATCCCCTGCCTTCTACCTATCAATATGGACTGTTACATACAGGCCATTTGTCATACAGCTTATAACAACATAGGATATGCATGACTGGACCACTAATCCCCTGCCTTCTACCTATCAATATGGACTGTTCCACACAGGCCATGTGTCATACAGCTTATAACAACATAGGATATGCATGACTGGACCTAACCCCCTGCCTTCTACCTATCAATATGGACTGTTCCACACAGATCATTAACTGTGTTTATGTTTAAGTTTGAATTATTATGATAATTATAGGGAACACCAGGATTATAATTATGAATGATCTTGTGCTAATTCATTTACAGAATGTAAGAAAACAAATTGTAAAGCAGAAAAGTAATTAATAAATTAGTATGGTTTATTCAACAGATTATTATAAATATGAACCATGTTTAACGAGAATTGATAATATAATTCAACATTCAAAGCATCATAATGGCGGATAATGGCTATCCAAGCTTCAATGGGTGACATGCAGCATCAAGGAGTGAGTGAGTGAGTGAGTGAGTGAGTATGGTTTAACGCCGCTTTTAGCAATATTCCAGCGATATCACGGCGGGGGACACCTTAAATGGGCTTCACACATTGTACCCATGTCAGGAATCGAACCCGGGTCTTCGGCGTGACGAGCGAACGCTTTAACCACTAGGCTACCCGACCGCCCGCAGCATCAAGGAACTGGATTGGACTTTTCCTTCCTTGGGTCAGTAGATGTTTCAGTCTCTGGAGTCTGTTGTCATTTATGACTTTAACATTGTTGTTGTGACAAAGACCTTATCTCAGAGCGTAGGGTCATACCATTACAGCTTAAGGTGAGTGCTCTAATTACCCCCCTACTCAACTGTATGACGATTGGCATAACAAGGTGTATGACAAATGGCCTGTCTGACTGGGAGGGAACCCATGTAACACACATGGCAGCATGTACTCCATCGTGACTATGATTAGTAAAAGACAAGTATGATGTCTCTTGACCGAACAGGCTTTGAGGGTCAAATATTTGCAACTCCAGCGAGACAAGCTGCTTTCCCGTCAGCTAATATAAGGCCTTTCTTTGTAGTGCTCTGGTGGCACTAGACGACACGTCATGGTCCTTAATCTTTTAGAAAATGGTTATACAATGTTTGTAAAGCACTCTCTCAGTATAAAACATTAAGGACATCTTCAAGGAGAAGAAGAAGACGTCTGTAAATAAAGCGACAAAGCCCTTTTAATATCCAATAGAAATCTCTGCATAAAGCAGAGTCGATTGTACGATTCCGACTATATCTTGAGCATGTGTTTATGAATCACTATCACATAGTAATGATACCAGGTGTTCGCGAAAAGGTGAGCGTATAGCACGCTCTCAGTGAAAACATTTAGGACATCTTCAAGAAGAAGAACAACGACAACAAAAATATTTTAGCCGTGTCACATATTGCACGATACAATAAATCATATAAAAGCAAACAGCGCAATACCCGGCCGCAGGGCATTTCAAGTTTAGACAGTTGCCAGGTTTTTCACAAACTTTTTTCCGAGCCCCAATCAAACGTTGCGAACCCACAGACGGACTTGTGTTTTCAATTCAAGAACTATCAGATCGAACACCTACTACAACCGCGGATATAAGGTGGCTACCTCTTCCTTACTGTAACATTAACTGAACAGATTTAAAATATAAATGTAATTATCGCATATGCATTCATAACGTTTGTTAATAAGTAACAAAAATACGTTTAGAATTTCTTGTGATCTGGAACCAATGCAAATGAAACGGAGATATGAAAAAGAAACCTAACTTGCTTGTAAATGATTGGATGATAAAATAGACTGCTTCAGCTTCTGATTTCGTAGGTCTTCAATCAGGTGAGGTGAAATGTGGTTTAACGTCGCGTCCAAGATTTTGGCACTTACATAGCAACGTGCATGCACGTGTGTGTGTGGCTGCTTGTCCGATTGATGCCGATTTATAGTGCTAGCTCACTGAGATACCATGCCGCAGTTTAACATGAATATCCCGCTCAGACACAGTATACTGACTCCGAGCCGACCAGCCCTTGTTTTAGCCCCTTAATGCCGAGCGCCAGACAGGGTTACAACAAGTACTATCTTTTTACGTCTTTTGGCATGGCGCGGCCGGGGATCGAACCCCTGTCCTTCCGACGCTCTACCACTAGACCACGGAGGCGGTCTCTTCAATAAGCGTTGTCCATACTGAGATTGGTGGTGAGTTCAAATATATGCCGATGTGAGAGTCTAAACGTTCTGATTAACAATAATGCTCTGTGTCAATACGTTTTGCCAAATATACTACCTGTAGAATTGGCACTTATTATTGATACACGTCCATGTTTTTGATGCACACAATGTGTTTCTTGCTATGCAATAGTGAGGAATGGTAACACTATATTTGTACCATGATGTTTCCGTGGTTTGTCCAGGAGAATAAGTGACTTGTCTTTGCAGGTGTTTGTGACTTGTATTGTATTGCAGCAACACATAATATTTTTTTAAGATTTACTTTCATTTACTGTTGTAACCAATTCAGCTGAAGTAGCATCCACCCCAGGAGTTTTGCCTTTCCTTGCTGCAAGTAACTCTACGTACCGCTACAATGGATATGAGTAGATTTATATCGCTGTCCCTGTATCTGTCTGTGAATCACTTCGGGGAGTAGAGACTGAACTGACGTTACAGCTGTGTAGCACTGTGTCAGTGTCAGAGCTGATAGATCCATCAGGCAGGCAACTTGCATGGGAACAGCATGTTAACTCTTGGAGGCCGAATGCAGCGACTCACACCACATACACACCAAACCACACCACACCACACCACACAACACCACACACAACACCACACCACACCACACCACACCACACCACACAACACCACACCGCACCGCACCGCACCGCACCGCACCGCACCACACCACACCACACCACACACTCACACCACACCACACCACACCACACCACACCTCACTTTCATGTAGCATGATAAAATCATTGACGATAACGATCATGAGTAATTTATTCTGAGACATGTTTTGCCGATTAAGCGATGGCTTGCATTAATGATTTATCTGTATCAGAAACAATTCTGTGAACAATTTCCACTTAATTCAATTTAATTGGAGCGTCACACTGGGTGTTGCGGTATATAAATGAAGCATTCTAGTTTATAAAAAAAATATGAGAAACATTTTATCCTTTTGGTTGCATGACGTCCAAATTTTATGGAGATAACGTCAGATATTTGATTGAACTTCCATTAGCTTGAGAAGCACATACGTTAAGACAGGAATCGATACATGTGTCCCGGCATGCTAAAGTCCAGAATTATTAAACATGTTGTCATTTGTATCCAGCGAACACGAATCATAAAGACATGCAATTAGCGAAATGAAGTGTTAATAGGGGGTTGTGTTTGCTGTCAATACATAAACCATTGACTTGGGTTTAATCAGCCGTCGGTAGCGTAATACTTCAGTACTTTGATGTCATCTTGCGGCGTTATCATGCCTGATGCATGTACACATTATTAACGTGAATGCGATGATCTTTTATTTTATATTACCCATAGGGGAGCGGCTATCGAGAAACTATTTTATGTCTAGCTGAGAATTATGATTTTAGCTTTTCGCTGATAGATAAATGCGTATTTTAGTGTTTTCTAAGCTTTATTATCATGACGTGAAGTCATATGAGTGTGTTGTTTAGAATTATGGAATTATGAAATTAAGACGGTAGCCACGGTTGATGACGCGAAAAATATTTTTTTATGGGACGTGAAACCATCCGTTGACTTCGCCGATGTATACTGACACACAATAAAAACGAACAATCATATGTTGAGGCATTTAGAAATTATGTGCTTTTGTGCTCAAGTCCATTTCGAAAAAAATCGAATGAGATTCGAACCCGAATTATATATAAGTTGTGTTTGATTACCTCATGCATAAATAAACAGATCAACTTTATAAGATTGTTGTAGCCATTTTGCCAAATATTACAAAAATCGATTGCGCATTATGTTTTCAGACGGTTTCAGTATATTTTGTATGTAATCGGCAAACAAGTCTTGTTTTCCTGAAATTTGTTACGAAAAATATGGTTTTACGTCGCTTGTAGCAACGTTCAAGCAATATCGAGGTGGGGGCACAACAAATAAGCTTCACACATTGTACTCTGGTGGGGAATCCAACCCGGCTTTCGAGCTTTTGAACCTGACGAGCGATCGTTACAACCATTGGGGGGGGGGGGCGTGGAAATTGCGTCAGAATTTAAAATAACGTTTGATGGACATGCTGGTTGTGCAAAACGAGTTGTGAAATGAAAAGTATTCGGTTCGTACCGTGCTCGTGAATAAGGTTCACAACATTCAATGCCTCTGTAAAGCTTTCAAAAGGTTTTATTGTAGACATGTGGAGAACATTGCCAAATTTGAAGTGTCAGTGACAAAAGTCGGATGCAATTCCCTATTTTGACTTGTACCAACTGTTTCCGTGTATTTTCAGGTGAACAATTAACTTGCCTTTGGATGTGTTTGTGACCGGTGCCACTGATGGGTCAGGATACGCTCATATTCACGCGAACATCTGGTACCATCACTATTTGATAGCCATTTATAAACACATGTTCATGATATTGACGGAATCGTAAAATTGATTTCTTATGAATATGGAAAGGGATTTGTCCCTCTTAGCTCACCGATATGGTCAACTGCTGACAGGGGGCACCGGTGGCCCAGTCGTCTAAGGCGCCGCGATTCGCTGTGCAGAGTTGCGTCCCTTGGGCACGCCAGAAACCTATGATTGTGGGTTCGAATCCGGGTTCGCCCCGATTATGTTTCTAGGTTTGTCAGCACCATACCCGTGCTCGTGGGTTTCCCCGAAGTGGTAAACGTCTGAGACCTGCATCACTTCGGCCTTTCCTCCCACATTAAGCTGACATGATGTGATGTAACTGGAATACTGTTAAAAGCGGCGTTAAATCCAACTCACTCACTCACTCAACTCCTGAGACGTTTTTTTCACATGAAACTGAAAAATCGATTTGCAGGGTTGCGTGCCAGAAACATGATAGTGGGTTCGAATCCCTAAGTATCCCTGATTAGAATTGTAGGTTTGTTGGCACTATACTGGTGCTCGTGGGTTTCATGAGGAAGTAAACATCTACAACATACTAAACTTCAAAATAAAGCTGACCTACCATGAAATACTGTTCAACCGAAATACTGTTCAAAGTCGCCTTAAACTAAATTCACTGAATCACAAAAAAATCCCAAGGCCTCAACGAAAATATTAAAAGGTCGGTATCTAGGAACAGGATCTAGATTACACTCTCATGAAAGGTGTAGCTTCCCGATGCTGACAACATATATCCCCCAGTGCACGATAGGAGTTGGCAATTGTTCAAGATGTCCGGCTGCTCCGCCATATTGAAATCTGTGCAGTCTTCTCTTGAGTTGCACTGCACGCCGCAGTCGATTGGGGTCGCCGCATGTGTTGTCATGACGACCGAACATCCGCTGACTTGATTCCTATGTGTCACGTAGATGTTCCATGTCTTGTCACGTGTCGCGGTGATGACGACAACTACAACAGAGCACAAGGGCATGATAAGGTTGTACGTGACCGAACATGAAATGAGTATGTATGGAAAGAAGTATGCCTTGTTATTTGTTTCGGGCTTTATTACGTCGATCTGTAAATAATCGAAGTTGACCAGAAATTCCAGTGATTGACATCATGAGCAATTGGGTTACGATGACAGCCATCTACCGAGGCAGATAATCCAGTGATTAACATCATGAGCATCGATCCGTGCAATAGGGATACGATGACATGCATCGGCCAAGTCACAGGCCTGACCACCCGATGCCGTTAGTCGCCTCTTACGACAAACATTGCTTAAGACCAATTTTAACCCCGAATCTTCACGGACACAAAGACGAAAGACCAGAGAACAACCAGTCTCGATTATCCGACGAAACGGAAAGGCTCTTCGCATCACAGTATTGTTTCACATAACACCAATAACAGCTAGGTAAAGTACTAACACGACATAAAGATTGATGCATTCAGGAAGCAAATTCTGGATTACTTATCATTCATCTCGGGCAGTAAGTCTGCTGAAATCCGGACTAACCAAGTTTCGGATTAACGAATCACGAAGTCAGATCCATTGTATGCAGATGTTGAAAACAGTGGTCGTCCGGAAATCGAGGTGTCCGGATTAAAAAGGTTTAGATGTAATTACTCTCACCCGTCTCGCATGTCGACCCAGTATACCGCGCTCCACACAGGCAGTGGAAGGACCCCCCATCGGTCACACACCTCCCGTCGTTCAAGCATGGGACGGACACACATGGATCGGCAGCTGTGATCAACAGGAAAATAACGATTGATCTCACATCTATTACGCTGTTGCAATTATATATAATTGTACAATATATTTCTGGAATCTGTAAATTTCTTAAACCTGTCAGGTACAAAACTGCCGGGAAAAAGAAAGTATACATTCCAGTTTGGTATATATTTAGCCACGGTCAAAGATGGGTGTTTACTTTCCTATGCTCGGCAGTTTACTGTATTCCTTTACAAGAAAGAGTTCATATGAACACACTATTCATTGTAAACGACGTCTTCCCGACGGCTGGACTAACGGATCTATGCATCGTCCAATGAAAATCACGTAACGAAATCGACATCCGGTTCGTATACAACGTGGCTACTGCATTCAGATGTCGGTCAATTTAACGATATGCATAACATGTTACCGTCAACTGGGCGTCGACAAATATTTTCCACTTCTGTTTTTAATCAGCGTGTTAAGGTGAATTTATTTCACTCCGTGAGATGAGATCCGTTTTTTTACAATGTAGATCTTGATTATTGATACGATCTTCTTGGCCTTGCGCCGCCATTTTTTAAGCAAATACAAGTGGAATCTGATTGGTCAATAGGAGAGACGTGGAAGGGTTGAAACTGGACTGTTATAGTCTGTTAAATCCCTTGCCTCGGGAAGATGGTTAAACGATCACGGCCACACGAATACTGAAACTTATTGATGTTGTTCGCTATGCTGGAACACAAATCGCACCTTAAAAAATCGATTATATCAATTATATTGGGTTCACAATCAGATTTAACTGATTGCCTTTTTCTTAATTAGAAGTGTTGGGGGCTTGTGTGCGATATAGTTCATTTCAATTGATTACTAACATTGAAACTTGTTGTTTTTATTTAACATATAGTTCAGTCTCTCTGTGTGTTTAAGCTCGCAACACATTTTCTTCGGAGTCAATATATATCCATTTGCTTATTTCAGGCAATACTACATTCAGTAAAAATATTGCAAACATAGAACATACCCAACAGAAAACGCCTTTAAGAGCTGCTGGTTTTGTATGAAAGTTGCCTTTGGTATTGTGACTACTTTGAGACATTTGTTTGTTTGTTCGTTTGTTTGTTGTTTAACGCCGCACTCAGCAATATTTCAGATATATGACGGCGGTCTGTTAATAATCGAGTCTGGACCAGACAATCAGTGATTGACATCATGAGCATCGATCCACGTAATTGGGATCGATGACATGCATTAACCAAGTCAGCGAGTCTGACCACCCGATCCCGTTAGTCACCTCTTACGACAAGCATAGTCGCCTTTTACGGCAAGCATGGGTTGATGAAGACCTATTCTACCCCGGATCTTCACGGGCCACTTTGCGACATGTGCACATTGCGTAATACTATTTAGAACTATCAGAATGACGCCGGACAATGATCAATACGAACCAAAGGACATCCCTCCCAGAAATCCGTATGCAGCATCGTGACTCTTCTGTCCATAGATGACCATTCCAAGATGCTGGACCTGTGTCTCAAAAGATGACCCCTTCACATCCAGGGCAGGAGCTGACAGCACAGCAAGGTCACTCCCAGGGATGTGTTCAATCTGATCAGGTGCGCTAAATGTAACCCCAGGGTAGGCGGTGGCGTTGTAGTACACGGTGACGTAGATGTTGAGTGATGTCACCAACAGCCATGTATAGTCGTACCAGGGGTTGCTGAAGAAGCGGTTAGTGGGGGGAACAATCGCCATAAATACGTCCCCAAAACCCCCGACCACCAAAGTACCGTACATGACAACAAGGACTGGTTTGGAGGAATAGAGCAGCTGCGTGCCTGTTGTTGATGAGTCGATGTCCAGGAAGCTTCCAGCTTTCAGGACGAATTGAGCTTGACCCCCAACTGTCACCGTTGTGTTGTCTAAATGGGCAACGACTCTGTGGATGGTGCCAGTGGGACTCTGGGATGTTGTTGTGATGATGTAACTGCTTCCAAAGGTTTCAACAGGAATCATCATCTCCATCAGAAGGTCCGCCTTGGGTGAGGTTCCAGGTAATGCTGCCATCTGGTTTCCTGAAAACACTGCCACTGGTTTGTCGCTGGTGATGACGGTGCCTGTGAAATCCCCTCCGCATGTTAAGCCAATCACGTCAAAGCGGTTGATGGTCTTCGTGATGGTGGTTCCGTCCGTGTGTCCATCACTGCCACAGCTCCCAGTGATGAGGCGAAGGGCGATGGTTACTTCTGTATTGTCCTGTGTCCCAGCGATGATGAACTCACTCGGGGCAGGGATGGCTGATCTGGACACAAGGACATAATGTCCGGTTAAGTGATTAACCGGGATGGCGAGGAAAGTCCCGCCGCTTTCTTGTCTGTAGCTGGACCCGAACAACGATATGGGTTTCGTTGACGTTACGTACACGACTTTCCGCTCAATGGCCATTGTCATTCCTCCGAGATACTCAAAGGCGGAACCTGGGATATAAACGGATTTTGGAGACAGTGGGGTTAGTGTTTCTGTTTTGAAGAAATTAGTGTGGTCGCTTGTTGTCGTTACTGCGGCAGCCTCTTCGCTCCAAAAGTATAAAGCATAGTGTTTTTCGTTGACATGGCCATTGATGAAGGCTAGGATGAACTCCTGACCTCGATGGTCCTCTGAAATATTGATGTGGAAATGTATCACATCTGTATGGAAAGGGCGTAATAGTATGACTTTCAATAAATAAATAATTTCATTTTGGTTAATTTGAGGGACTGATCACTTATAAGAGGGGGGTTGTGGTCCTGAAACAAATGTAACGTGTATTGGCTGGGGTGTGTGTGTGTGTGTGTGGGGGGGGGGGGGGGGGGGGGGGGGGGGTCATGAATTAAATGGTACATAAAATGGGGTGGGTTCAGCAAAATGTGATACAGTCCCAAGACCAGTCTCAAGCCCAAATAATAAATGACCACTCCCTTCCAGTACGGAGAAGCATTGCCTATTTGACCACTATAGACCCGTTTACAGAGAATTTCTGATAGTGTGGGAGTCGGAGTGTTAACAGTGAATGGCTCTAAAAATTGGGGGAAAAATAATTTGAAAACTGTTCCTTTGACATGTTCTCTATCTTGAGAAAGGAAATGTCGGTCTCTTAGAGTCTGTCAGGAAACCTTCCCTTACCTTGGCTCTGACTGGATGCCACCATCAGTGGAGGGATACACCTACAGTGAAAACAAGGAAGGTATTTATATCACGTACAGAGAAACCTCGTTAGTCCGGAACCCGTTCGTACGTCATCCCCACCGGACCATAATTGTTTGGACTTTCTATACAGGTTCTACTACACCAAAACAGAATAAGAGCGGATTGAATCACCTGTCAGCTGTGATTGGATGATTTTTATCAGTATTTTATTTTTTACAAATACACATCCATCCAGTGATTAAAACTGACCATGTTTTTTTCTATTTTTAGTGCTGTCTCTATTGGTATGATGACTTGTGCTGAATGTAACCACAAATATTTTCACATTCGTGACCAACTCGTGTTATTCCGGTACAAGCCGAATAGCGTGGCCATTTTTGCGACTGGGTTCCGTCTAAGCGTAAACGGGCATAGTTGAAATGCCAACTCGTTGTGTAATGATTTGTGTATATGTCCCGCATGTCATATATATTCCAGATGCTATTTAAAACACATCAGGACTTACAGTATTATACAGTATGATTGAACACATTTAACTGTATCTAAAGTATATTTTAGATGCAAGACATGTGTCAACTCAAACATTATTCCTGCGGGATTCTTTGACCGAAGTACTTGAAGCCACACGCGCATTTTGATTGGTTTGTCGTAACATTCATCGATTGGGGGACGAGTCTTCTTGCAGGTTGCGGAAAGAGACGAGTGGTGACGAATGATATTTTCAAGCAAGTGACATTCAGTGCGGACCTGGGGGTAGTGTGTTCAGCTTTCTGTACTCGGAAAAGTTACTGGCTAAGCTAGCAATTGTTTTATTGCTTCTTTAAGGCGACACTGTGCACACATATGCATGTAATAGCTGTTGAATGCTCAGTTATTGAAAAAGATATATATAACGTTAGTGTAGAAGTCTATAGGAAAACATTTATTTGTGTTTAATCTATAATGGCACAGGTTCCGTTCTACTGATTCGTACTTTCGTTCATCCGGACATTTGTTAATCCGGACGATTATACTTTGATCTGTACCGTCCAGGTTATCGAGGTATCACTGTATAGGGCTGAAAATATATATTTTAAACTAAGTGTATACAGCAACCGATATTCCGATATTCCGTGCACTACCAAACCTTTCTTTAATAGTCTATGGGATAAAACAAATGCTTAACATTTAAACATATTTTTTTCTGTTTACAGGCCTTGATTAAGTTGGACTCACGTTCACCTGCGGAATGCAATTATCTTGAGACAAGTGACAATTTCATACAATGATGTCAAAACACTTTCTAACATTAATGGCTTTTAGATTGGTGACAGTAAAGCCGAGATTTCACAAAAGGTGAGCTAAATTAGCATCCAATCAATCGCTTTCCTGCATCACCGCTTTGGCTCCCCGAACTTCCGCGGAAACTGCAGTAAACACCGTGGTACACCCAGTAACAATCTGTCAATCGATATAGGGTGGGCCTCATGTGTGTCTCGGTGCGTGTCGCATTATCGGATAGTTTTGTTTACAGCCATGTTCAAAGTAGGCGCGGAAGTTCACAGCGTGATATTTTGCAGGAACGTCTTTGTTGCAGATCCGCACATAAACAAAACATGCTGAATAATGTTTGTGTGTGTAGGTTTTAAACTCTCCGGCTTCGACATATGTTTACTATCTGTCAAGACCTGAAGTGCCATTATCGCCAAATGATCGGATATTTTATATAATATTTTTTTTGTGTGATCTTATTATTTTATCGATGGTTTTTTGGTGTATCTTTTATAGTCTCGGGTAACTCCGCATGTGGTGGCTCGTTACGTTTTACTGCGTATTATTTGTAGTGGTTTTATTATATTTGTACTGTAGTATTTCTTTCTTCTATCTTAAACGGGTGTAACGAGGTGGCACTTTAATATGATGTCAGTGTATTTATCTGCACCCTGCGTGTCCCTGTGGGGGATTCAGTCCATGCTGGACGTACGAGATGGCCAGTTTCGGTGAATTGACTGATTGCCAATTGCGTGGATCGGTACTCAATCTGTCAATAACTGGATTGTCTGGCCCAGACTCGATTATTGAGTGAGGACCCTCATATAGCGGTAGTATGTGCGGCGTTAAACAACAAACAAATAAAACATTTGACAGAAATGCACAACGGGTGCGTGACGGGCTAACATTTCACACACCAGCCACAGATGCATGATAGTCACAGGTTATATCGGAGGAAACACAGTATTGTTCAAATATTATTTCAGAATATTACATCTTATCTTATATTTAAGTTGAAAAGCGACAGTACAGTATGATGATTATTGTGATTCTATACTTTTAATGAGTATTGTTTTTTTATTGTATCATGTGTATATGGATTAATAACCTTTTTTGATGCAGTAGTCTTTGTTCCGTCTTGATGTGTACGACGACCGCTGGATCTCCGCTATCCTCATTTATGTCTCAACTGAATCTCCCTCAACATCATGTATGTCTGAACTGAATCTTCCCAAACATCATGTGTGTCTGAACTGAATCTTCCCAAACATCATGTATGTCTGAACTGAATCTTCCCAAACATCATGTGTGTCTGAACTGAATCTTCCCAAACATCATGTGTGTCTGAACTGTATCTTCCCAAACATCATGTATGTCTGAACTGAATCTTCCCAAACATCATGTGTGTCTGAACTGAATCTTCCCAAACATCATGTATGTCTGAATTGAATCTCCCTCAACATCATGTATGTCTGAACTGAATCTCCCTCAACATCATGTATGTCTGAACTGAATCTCCCTGAACATCACGTATGTCTGAACTGAATCTTCCCAAACATCATGTATGTCTGAACTGAATCTCCCTGAACATCATTTATGTCTGAAATGAATCTCCCTGAACATCATTTATGTCTGAACTGAATCTCCCTGAACATCATGTATGTCTGAACTGAATCTTCCTGAACATCACGTATGTCTGAACTGAATCTTCCCGAACATCATGTATGTTTGAACTGAATCTCCGTGAACATCATTTATGTCTGAACTGAATCTTCCCTAACATCATTTATGTCTGAACTGAATCTTCCCGAACATCATGTATGTCTGAACTGAATCTCCCTGAACATCATGTATGTCTGAAATGAATCTTCCCGAACATCATTTATGTCTGAACTGAATCTCCCTCAACATCACGTATGTCTGAACTGAATCTTCTCGAACATCATTTCTGTCCGAACTGAATCTCCTTGAACATCATGTATGTCTGAATTGAATCTTCACTAACATCATGTATGTCTGAACTGAATCTCCGTGAACATCATTTATGTCTGAAATGAATCTTCCCTAAGATCATGTATGTCTGAACTGAATCTTCCAGAACATCACGTATGTCTGAACTGAATCTTCCAGGACATCATGTATGTCTGAACTGAATCTCCCTGAACATCATTTATGTCTGAAATGAATCTTCCCGAACATCATTTATGTCTGAACTGAATCTTTCTCAACATCACGTATGTCTGAACTGAATCTTCCCGAACATCATTTATGTCCGAACTGAATCTCCCTGAACATCATGTATGTCTGACTTGAATCTTCACTAACATCATGTATGTCTGAACTGAATCTCCATGAACATCATTTATGTCTGAAATGAATCTCCCTGAACATCACGTATGTCTGAACTGAATCTTCCCTAACATCATGTATGTCTGAATTGAATCTTCCCGAACATCATGTATGTCTGAACTGAATCTCCCTAAACATCATGTATGTCTGAACCGAATCTTCCTCAACACCATGTATGTCTGAACTGAATCTCCCTGAACATCATCTGTGTCTGAACTGAATCTTCCCAAACATCATGTATGTCTGCACTGAATCTAACCGAACATCATGCATGTCTGAACTGAATCTCCCTGAACATCATGTATGTCTGAACTGAATCTTCCCAAACATCATTTATGTCTGAACTAAATCTCCCTGAACATCATGTATGTCTGAACTGAATCTTCCCGAACATCATTATGTATGAACTGAATCTTCCTGAACCTCATGTACGTCTGTGCTGGATCTCCGCTAACTTCATTTGTGTCTGAGCTGAATCTCATCTTACCTTATGTTTGTCTGATCTGTATCTTCTCTAACCCTATTTATGTCTGAAATGAAACTTCCCTAACCTGTGTTGGACCACCCCTAACCTCACGTATGTTTCAGCTGGATCTCCGTTAACCTCATTTATGTTTGAACTAAAACTCTCCTTATATCTGATCTCAGCCTTCTACAACCTAATGTATGTCTGAGTTGGGTCTCCCCTCACCTGATGTATGTCTGAGTTGGATCTCCCCTCACCTCATGTATGTCTGAGTTGGATCTCCCCTCACCTCACGTATGTCTGAGTTGGATCTCCCTTCACCTCATGTATATCTGAGTTGGATCTCCCCTCACCTCATGTATGTCTGAGTTGGATCTCCCCTCACCTCACGTATGTCTGAGTTGGATCTCCCTTCACCTCATGTATATCTGAGTTGGATCTCCCCTCACCTCATGTATGTCTGAGTTGGATCTCCCCTCACCTCACGTATGTCTGAGTTGGATCTCCCCTCACCCATGTATGTCTGAGTTGAATCTCCCCTCACCTCATGTATGCCTGAGTTGGATCTCCCCTCACCTGTTGTATGTCTGAGTTGGGTCTCCCCTCACCTGATGTATGCCTGAGTTGGGTCTCCCCTCACCTGATGTATGTCTGAGTTGGATCTCCCCTCACCTGTTGTATGTCTGAGTTGGGTCTCCCCTCACCTCATGTATGTCTGAGTTGGATCTCCCTTCACCTCATGTATGTCTGAGTTGAATCTCCCCTCACCTCATGTATGTCTGAGTTGGATCTCCCCTCACCTGATGTATGTCTGAGTTGGATCTCCCCTCACCTCATGTATGTCTGAGTTGGATCTCCCCTCACCTGATGTATGCCTGAGTCGGATCTCCCCTCACCTGATGTATGTCTGAGTTGTATCTCCCCTCACCTCATGT